GGCGGGGCCAGGGCGGGGCGGAGGCGGAGAGGCGGCGGAAAGTGGAGTTCTTCCGCAAGCTGGGCTATTCCTCGGAAGAGGTCGTGGGCGCGCTGCAGAAGCACGGCGTAGAGGCGGACACCAACACCATCCTCGGGGAGCTGGTGAAGCACGGGATGGCCCTGAGGGAGAGGGAGCCTGCCCAGGCGCCCCAGGAGGCTCCCGAGGCACCGCCGGTTCCGAGGGCTCGTCCGGCCCCCCGCAGCCCCCCCGCCCAGCCTGTGCCTTCGGAAGAGGAGGAGGGGGACCACTTGCGGCCGGTCGTAATCGATGGAAGCAACGTGGCCATGAGGTATGTCTGGTCTGTGCCGCTGCAGTTGGCATTGAAAAAGTTTGTGCAGCTGTTCCTGGCAGTCCTCTTGGGCTGTATGAACTTCCCTGTAGTGTTTTGGTGACCGGCACCTTCCTCCAACTAGCAGGCCTCCTGAAGGCAGTTCTGGTTTCTTGAAGCCAGACCTCTGACTCTCCTGGTGTCTCTCCCCCGATCAGGAGGTGGTAGTTCTCTGTGCATTCATTGCTGGGGCAATTCTGATCACTGTGGCAGGGTGGTGCAAAGCATGCCGCACTCCGGAGCCCTGCTCTTGCTGGGATTCAGGCCCGTTGGGATTCAAGCACAGCCTCCCCCCCCTTGTGATCCCAACTACCTCAGGGGGGCTGGAAGCAAGTGAGATGGCGGGCTGCTCCCTTGGCCGCCCCCGAGCGGGAACAGGCTGGGAAGTTCCAAGCTGCAAGAAATGGGTCCCCTGATGTGAAGAGCTTCAGGTACAGACCAGGAGGCAGGCAGCCTTTGGGGTTGCTGGATCTGCCAGTCCCAGATTGATTGTTCTGCCCTTGCTCTGAAAGAGGAGGTGCCTGTGTTCTCACTTGTTTGGCAAACGAAAGCACCATCAGGCCTGCTGTTTCCGCGTAATCTCCTGCCGCTGCTTTCAGAGCTACGTTGGCCCCCAGAGAATACAGATCAGAGCCTCTGGTGTTCAGGTTCTGGTCTGGGGTGGGAAGCAGCAGAGGGTGCAGGTCGATGTGGTCCTGGCGGAAGGTAAAGACTAAAACCCGTGAAGTGTCTCCAGCATCTGGCTTTGGCCTCCTTCCTGGTCAAGCCTCCAGCTGATGGCAAGTAATTTTACTGTAGGGCTAGAAGATGGAAGATCAGCACAGCAAAATCTTCTTGGGGATTTAATAATAGTAGATTGCTGGATTTTGATAATACTGTAAAGTTATGCAATTAGATGAGATTTGGACAGACGGGTTTCTGGCATGGTGCGTCCTTGTCCTTGCTGTAGGTGAGAGGTCTGCTTGGTACCCCCTGCAATTCCCTAGTCTCCGAAGGGCTCTGCCGGAGGGAGGGGGCAGGAGTTTGTTGGCATCCTGCTTGGCTTGCCCCCAGACCTGTGGCTCAGGCAGACCTGGTTTCTGCTGCATTGTCCCTGATGGACGCTTGTCTGTCTGGCAGAGATCTGGCTCTTCCGTTGATTCTTCCTTGTCTACACAGAAAGGAAGGCGCACGTGGCCCACGAACGCCTGGAGGAGCATTACTCTCTTCCCCCTCATCTGCTAGCCTCCCTATCATTCCTTCCCTAGTTGTGGGAACTGAAAGGGTGGCTGGTTCTGGGCTGAGACCGCATCAGAGTCACCTTGGCTGAGAGGAGGCGAGCTCTGGGCACAACCACTTGTGGCCTTCATTGTGTACTTGAAGCTTGTCCCTTTCAACACTGGAAAGAAGGGCTAAGGGCTCAGGCTAAAAACACTTCTGGACAGAATTAAGCTCCACGGGTCCTGTGTGAGAAGGGTCCCAGCCAGTGGATGGAAGCCACCATTCACATTTCTTCCCCGTCCATGGGGAAGCATCTTGGTTTTTAGGTGAAAGCTGTGCTCCCTAGAATGCTGATCTCCATCCCCCAGTATTTTAACATGTTGGAAATCCTCTGGGGTGGAGGAGGAATACATGATGCGGCAAGGATCCATGAGAACCTAGCCTGAGAGTTAGCTGCTTAAATGGAGGCGAGAGTAGCTCTATCGCTCCCACACAGAGCGAATTTGCACTTGAGGATGTTTGAAGATGTCCAGGAAGATGTTATTTCCCCCCTCCCCTTTCCTAATGCCATGAGCTGGTTCAACCGCTGAGCCCTGGGGGCCCATCCTGGAATGGCACTGTGGAATGAGGCTGGACACTCCCAGCACTTCCTTCCATTGCCAAGTAACACCGTGATACTGGTAGTAGTGGGGCTGCAAAATTCTTGACCACCGCCAGATGGCAGGAAAAATATAAAGCAAGCCCTGACTTCCTGCCTCTTTGCACCCCTGGTCTGGTAACCCCGCGTGGTGGGGAGAGGTGAGCCGGCAGGTGCTGACTTCTGCCCTCCCCTTGTGCCTTTTGAGATAGACCAAATTGCTCTCCGGCTGTCAATGCAGGCCAGAGGGCACTTTCTGCGGAGAGGGAGGTGGGGCAAGTGGGGGTTCTGCCCTCCTGAGCTGGAGTTCCTGAGCCACCCGGCTGTTTGGTCTGGCAGTCTCTTCACGAAAAGCGAAGGGGGATTTTTACGGACTGCTTCCTGCATGAGCGGAGTGACAAACTGTTCCTCATTGATTCGCCCTTGCTTGGATAATAACGCATGGCAAGTTTATGCAAATCTTGGAGGGGTGTGTGGAGCGGAATTGTCCCTGACTTCCTTCTAAGGGAATTTCTCACATCTGTTGCCACATCGGATGAACTACGTGAGGCCCTTTTCTCTTCATCTGAGGATGGTAAAACGTCTCCATATTCCTGCTGGGGTCTGGGGGGACTTGCTCATCCTGCGCTGAGCCATTAGGCACCTCTTCCCCCTTTCAGAGTGTTGGGGGCAGAAGGGCATGGATTGCTAGGGAGCTTTGGGGAGGGGGGCAAGTTTCAGAAAAATAAATTACAGGAGTTCTGTATCCTTCCATTCCTGACTTCACTGCTTGGATAGTGGTCTTCCTAGTGTTGGACCCAAGAAGTGAGAGTCAACCCTCACTAGCAGCCCACCCTCTGAGAAGAGCAAGCTCGGGGTCGGGGGGCAAATGCCAGCCTAGCCATTTATTCCATTTGATCTGTGTGAACTTTGAAAATTAAGCTGGCTGGTGCTGGGAGACGGAGAGACGTTGGCATTAAACATTTATCCAGTGGCGTGGGGATGAAGGCTTGTACTGCTTGCCCTAAAATGGCTGTGCCCTGGAGAGCTTCAGCTTCCCGTATCCTCTGAGCTGGAGCTCAGGAGGTGGTGAGTGGGTGTTTCAAAGAAATCAGTTTCTTTCCCTGCAAGTTTTACTTCCTAAATCAAAAACATTTCCTGATCTAGACCTCTGATCAGGGGAAGTGTCTCCTCTCCCCTTCATCAGGCTACAGTGAGGTTCAGCTCAGTCCTGCCTTATGGTTGAAGGATTGAGTCTGGTAGCCAGGGCTGCATGGCACAAAACTTGGGTTGCTTTGCCAGATCTGTAAGTCACAAGGCAGGGGTGCCCTTTGAAGGTTCAGCCCAGCAGCCCCCTTCTCTCATGCCAAGTGCCCTTTTCGGAAAGTCCCGAATGGTGGCAGCTGTAATTAAAAAGGAGTTGGAGCCCCTGGAGGGTCACTGCTGGGGCTCAGGAGTAGCTGTGGGGAAGGCAGCTTCCTGTCTCCTCGTTCCTGGTTACTCACCGCTGGGACAGCCCCGGATTTGCTAAGCAGCAGGGGTGTGAGGAGCTTTAGCTGCTGATGGCACAGCCTTGCCAGGCCCAGGAGGGAAGGTCTTGGGGGAAGAGAGCGCTTCCTTCCATGTTGAAAGCCACAACAGGAGGAAAGGGGAAGGGCCTGCTCTGCCCTCATTTCAGTTTACATTTTAGTGGGATGGAGGGAGGGGTCTCCTGCATAGCCTGCCTGAATATTATATTCAATGTATGCAAATATGACTTGTAGTTATATTTATTTACTTATTTAAAGAACTTATATGGCCACACAGTGATCCTAGGTGGCTCACAACAACCATAAAAACTGGTATAAAAACAGATCATACCCTTCACACCAGGAATCCTACTGACCCCCTGACTCAACCCCCTCCTACTCCAGTGCTTGGGGGAAGAGCCAGGTTTTTACAGCCTTCCAGAAGACTAAAAGTTTACTCCCCCAACCCCACCCCCCGCAAATCTCAGGTGGGAAGCTATTCAAAGGGCCGGGCAGCTACTGAGAAGGCCTGCCTCTGAGGTCCCAGCAGATAACAACATTGGAGGGAAGGGACCCGGAGCCTGCCTATCCCATCTGACCTAGGAGGATGGCAGATGCCCTCTGGGAGAGGCAGTCCTGCAAGTGACCCGGTCCCATGCCATCTAGGGCTTTAAAGGTCATAGCTAGCACCTTGAATCGTGCCTGGAGAGCAGCTGGGAGTCAGTGCAACTCAAGCAACAGTGGGCGAACCATGGAGTGCCCAGAACTGCACGTGCCGCTGCATCCTGGACCAGCTGCAGCTTCTGGGTGGTCTTCAAAGGCAGCCCCACGTAGAGCACATTGTAGTACTCCAATTGAGAAGTGAGTGAGTAAGGCAGGAGTGACTGCAAGCAAAGCCTCCCCGTCTTGCTGTAGCGGGGTTGTGTGCTTTTAGTTGTGTGAAAAAGAGGGTGCTCTCTTTGCTGCCAAGAGGGTGGTGGGGCTTGTGGGGAAGGGGACTGTGATGAAGCTGCAAGGGGATTTGAATTGTGCCCCTGAGAGCAGTCATGGGGACTGGTGATGTGCAAGTTTGTTCTCGCCACAGGAGCTTGCTTTAAAGAGAAGGGATCTACTCGGGCCATGCTTAGAGAAAGCCCTTCTGGTTCCCTGGTTTAAATGAACTTGGAAAACCTGGCTCAGTGTGAACCTACATAGCCCTGAGCATTTGGTTACAAAAACCAAGTTAAGAGAATAGGTTCCTTCCTGGTGGCACAGGTAAGAGCCAGCATTCTGCCTTAGAGGTGGTTGGGGAAAGTTCCCCGTGCCAGGCCTAGTTCTTGTGCCAGCCCCTCTTTCTGCTGCAGCCTGCAGCCTTCCTTGCTCCGCTGCTTTGGCAGTGGAGCGTTGCTGCTGATGCTGAACATTAACCCATCCGTTTCCAGTAGGAAGAGCAGGGAAGAGGGGGCCAGAAGAGCTGAGTCCTGGGGGGTGGCAGGCAGGGAAGAGCCTGCTGCAGCGGGGCCCAGTCTGGTCGAACTGGGTCACAAACAACTTGTCTTGTATCTTCAAGTAAACTCGCATTTCAGAGGAGCTCTTTCATTTTTTTAAATGGCAACATCATTGTTTTCAGGCAGTTCTCGAGACAGGAGACCAAGCGGTTGATTAGGAGGGCCGTTTAGTATTTGACTTCTGAAGCTAAAACTACACAAATGCCCAGGACTTACACTGTTGTGCTGAAGTGGGTAGAAACTATGGGATACAGTGAGTTCTCTCGCCTTTGGCAGAGATGGACACAGCATCTCTCTTGCAGAAGAGGGTCTTTGGGTGGCCATGAAGAATTTGGGGCTGGCTGGGTGTGAGTCTTCAGCCCTTTTCCCAAGCCTTTAGCAGCGGCACTGAGGAAAGAAGGCACATTTGCTCGGACTGAAGGTCAGCTTCCTTACACACACATAAGTGAGCAAGGGCAATTAGAGGCAGGAGACAAAGAGAAAAAGGAAGGAAATAAAACTGCTCTACATCAACGCCATCCACTACGGTATACTTTTCCATTTCTTTCTATTCTTGTTTCCCTGTGCCAATACCCCGCCTGATACCTTGCCTTTTGCTCCTTCTCACCTTTCTTTTTGAGAATCTACCCCTAATGCTATCCAACCACTGCTTTCCCCTTTCTCTCTCAGGATTGTGGCTCTTCCTTCAAATATTTGTTTTGAGGTTCGATCTTTATTCATTCTCTCTATATGATCAAACTGACTCCACATGTTCCCTTCATTCTGGTCACTCATTTTTGAAGTACCCAATTGGTTCCACTTCTATTATTTCCCCTAACATACGCAGTTCTCACGTCTGTGTAACACAATGGGTAGAGGCACTGTTTTACACATTATCATTTTCACTTACTTTGAGAAACATTATAATAAGGCCACTAACTTTCTACTCACATTTGCACATCTTAAATTTCTCCATTTTCCCATCTTAAGCAAACATTCTACCAAGGTACACAAATTCATCTACTCTAATTTGTCACTATTTATGTATAGCCTGCAATTGTTGATTCCATCTTTCCTGTCAAACACAAATTACTGTGATGTTTCTGTGTGTTAGTTTTCAGATCTATGCTCCTCGTTGCATCATACAAACTATCTAACTTTTGCTGCAAATCATTCAGGCTCTCAGCCCAGAAAACCACTTTTCCAGCATAGAAAAATATATCCCTATCTAACATACCTCCAAAGTCACCCTAAGCATGCCTTTCACATTTTATCCATAAATACAGGACACAACCAAAAGAAAATCCCACTTCCTTGACTCACTCCCTGCCCGTCGGTGAACCTCTCCCACTGAATCTCAGGCACGCTTTGCTTCCATCACCACCTGCTTTTACTACACTCTTACAAGCAAGCTTCACCTCCATATTCTCTTAAAACATCCCGTAATACAAGCCTACTCATTGCATTAGGCCTGTTCTAAATCATAAGTAATCAAAAGTACAATAAGCTTGCTTTCTTGTATTCACACGTTTCTCAGTGACCTCCCAAGAGCGTTGCCTGCACACCCTACTCCTAGTAAAGAGCTGTGGTGAGCTTCCCCCGTCAGCCTCCCAGGGATTTAGCAGGGACCCCATCTGCAAGGGGAGGGGGCTGGTCCCACTGGCGCAGAGGCCTTGGGAGAGCCGCACTGCCTCAAGGGGCTGCGGGAGGCGCCTCCTGTGCACTTGTGTGAACGGGCTCAGGCATCCAAGAAGGAGCTTGAGTTGCTGGCTGGAGAGAGCAGGAAGCTGCAGGAGGGGGGCGCTGGGAAAGGGGGTGGGCGCCTCCAGAGCATCTGCCGGACAGGCCACAGCAGCAAGGCCTGGGAGGAAGGCGGGACCGGCAGGAAACCGGTCCCGGCTGGAGAAGGGCCAGGGGC